AACTCGCTGCAGGAGTCCAGGCTCTCATCGTTGCCCCGAAGAGCAGCAGGCCATTTCAAACGGCTGACCTGATGGTTAACAGACTAATACGTAACCATTTCAGCACTAGTGTACCATCCCTGAGAATGAAGTCATAATCAGTGGAATAGAAGGAGAGAAAAAAGTTGTAAGTTGTAGCTGATAATGTCATAATTCAATGTTGAACGAGTTTATAAAATCATTGTGGTTCTAGTAGAGGTATCACATATTGTCCTGTGATTAAAATAGACACTAAACATGGCTAACTGGGATGTGGTCTGGTGTGGGACGAGGTCCAGGGGGTGGCAGTGTGGGTGTGACACCATGAGTGGCAGCACTAGGTGACACCAACTAGTGATGTCTTCACCTCTAAGTGGGTCAGTAGGTGTAAGGCCCTAGTAACTCTGTGGCTCCGTGCTTAGCTGCCAACCCAAAGGAAGATGGTTAGCTGCCAACCCAAAGGAAGAGGCCCACCCACCTCTCCGTAGGACAGAGATGAAGCAGTCTGTCTCTGTAAGGATTACATCCTCAGAAACCCCATGTCTTATAGAGTTCTACCCTGTCTTAAAGATTGACTATGAGTAGGAGTTAAGAGTCCTGGTAGTGTGGTGGGTTACGAGTTGGCCTGCTAACCATAAAGTGAGCAGTTCAAACCTACCAGGCATTCCTTGTGAGAACCATGAGGCTTTCTACTCTGTTCAAGAGTGGAAACCCACAGGAGCAGTTCTACTCTGTCCTATAGGCTCATTATGAGTTGGAATTGACTCAATGGTAGTGGTGACTTGGAGTGGATTTTATGACACACCACAGCACTGTGTACGTATGTAGCATATATCTATATCTATACAGGGGCTTCAAAAAGTTCATGGAAAAATGGAATGAAAAGATACTGGAATTTTTCCATAAACCCTTTGAAGCCCTCTTGTATGTGAGTCGAGGAACCCTGATGGTAGAGTGGGGTACATTTTGGGTCACTCCATGGGAGAAAGACAAGGCTTTCTACTCCGGTAAAGAGTGACAATCTCAGAAACCCACATGAACAGTTCTACTCTGTCCTATGGGGTTGCTAAGAGTCAGCAACGACTTGATGGCAGTGGATTTGAGCTTGTATATGAGTCAACTGAGACTCACAGCGACCCCTGCTCTCAAGCTTGGGTGTGCATGTGAGCGTGTGTGCGGGTGTGCATGTGAGCGTGTGTGCCAGACTGGAACTGTGCACCCTTGGGTTCTCAGTGGCCAATTTCTTCAGCAGTAGATAGACAGGCCTTTCTTCCAAGGCCAATCTGGGCAGACTCACCACCCAAGTACTGTTCTCACAGGGCTACCAGAGAAAGAAAAGAGTGTCTCAGGCAGAGGACTTAGAGCCAGGGCCGAGAAGTGTATAATTCTTATAGTACAAGTGCCCTGAGATGTGTGAGCCTTTGTTGTGCAGTTTTGGTGATAACAGACCCTTCTAAAAGGTTGGAATGGACAGGGTGGTAATGTTTTTTTCTCCCCTAAAGGGAAGGGCAGCTCCCCCAGGGACCCCTGCTCTCCCTGTGAGTCATAAGGAGGGAATAGAGGTTTTGTCGGCCCAGCACACTCACAGACGCAGTGGGGCAGGCGGGAAGTCCAGATGGGTGTGCCGGTCTCTCGGCTGTAGCAGGTCAGAAGAGAGCTTCCTTCCAGCACGAAGCCCGGGTTGCAGGTGTATTGGATGGTAGTGCCCACCAGTAGCACGGGGTCCGAAATCAAGCGGGTTGAGTGGTCCACCTCTCCAGGGTCGGTGCAGTACATAACTACACAGGGTGAGACACAGAGCAAGAGGCCGTGAGTGCGAGGTCACTGTCTATCACAAGGCACAGGAGAAGGTAGCATGAGCTGTGACAAAGAGCAGACCCAGGTCCTGCGATGCTACAGAGAGAGACCCTTTGATAAGCCTTGCTGTGCTGCAATTCTAGAGACACTTTGATAAGGCTTGCTGAGTTCTCCACATCTCTGGAGAATCCCCCACTTTGATTCTGTTCCCCCTTTGGAAGGGAAAGCCCCTTTTCCTTATCAAATGTGGGGGGAGAATAGGTCAGGAGGAAGGAACTGAATTTAACTTCACAGGAGCCTGAGGTTGCACAACGGGCTGCTGATCACAAGGCCCACAATTTAAAACCACCAGTCTAGTCTTGAGCGATAGATAGGGGTTTCGACTCCTGTAGTAAAGAGGGGTTAAGGGAAATAGGGGGCCAATAACGATGAGTACAAGAATGAAGAAAATGTTCTAAAACATTGTGGTGATGATTGTACTACTCTTCTTTATGTGATATTGAACTATTGAATTGTATGATATGTGAATTATATGGCAATAAAACTGTTTAAAGAAGGATAACAATTATCCAGAAACCCACTGGGGCAAGTCTACCCTACCCTATAGCGTCACTATGAGCTGGCATCAACTTGATGGTAATGATTTTGGTTTGGTTTTTTGAGGAGTCTTGGGGACACAGGGGTTACATGTTGGATGGCTAACAACGAGGTTATCAGTTTGAAACTACCCACTGCTCCAAGGGAGAAAGATCAGGCTTCCTACTCCTGTAAAGACAGACAGACTTGGAACACACAGGGGCAGTTCCACTCTGTCCTATAGAGTTGCTATGAGTCCAGATTGACTCAATAACATGCGTGAACTTGATGGCAGTGGCCTTTGTTGTTTGTTTGTATGAGGTCACAGTGGCTACCACGATGGGTCCAAATATAACAACTGTGTGAACAGTGCAGGACCAACCACTGTACATCAGGTCTCTATGAGCCAGAACCGACTGATGGGACCTAACAACAACAGGTCTAGGGATCTACCAACAGAGATGTGTGCACTGGGAGCCGAAGATGTGTGTGTGACCTTGTATCTCACACCTCCTGCTTGTGATGCCAGAAAAGGGGGCTGTGTGCAGCCATGAAAACTATCGCACCACCCTCCACTCGATCCTGACTCACAGCAACCCTCTAGGACAGAGTCCAATGGCTGCCTGGGATCTCTCAGGCTGTCGATCTTTATGGGAGCAGAGAGCCCCATCTTTTTCCCAAGGAGCAGCTAGTGGGTTTGAACCTTAGCCCTTTTTTATGGTTAGCAGCCTAGTGCTTAATTGGCTGTGCCACCAGGGCTCCTTGCCAACAATAGCAGAAGTTAATTTTCATGGAGCAGGCATGTGTGGAGTCCTGAGCAGCCATTCAATAGAACAAGTGGGAGGATGTGCTGCCTATGTAGTGTTTGAATGCAGTCCAACAAGCATCCACTATTTTTTTAATGAAAAAAAAATCAATAGAGATAAAAGGAAAACAATAACCCAATTAAAAAGAAGGGAAGTGGATAGTGTAGGTGAGATGTAAAGATACCTAGGCCTCAGAGTGGGGGGGAAAAGCCAGTATCAAGGCAGTGACTTTCATCTGATCCCTGAAACAGAATGATACAGTTATTTCTGTATGCATTTCCATAGGTGCAATGGAGCCTTGGGGACATCATGGATTATGTGTTGGGCTGCTTACTGCAAGGCCAGCAGTTTGAAACCATTAGCCACTTCTTTGGAGAAAGGTGAGGCTTGATGTAGTGGTTACACATTGTGCTGCTAACCACAAGTTCAGCAGTTCAAAACCACTAGCTGCTCTATGGGAGAATGATGAAGCTTTCTACTCCCATAAAGAGTTACAGTCACCCGTCCTCTGTGGTCTCACGTGACTGAGGGAACTTCCTCCTGCCTGCTGTAGTGCCTCACACAGCCAAAGGCAGTTTGGCCAACACCCTACATCACTCCACGCTGCTGTGGGAACCTCTGCCCAACCTCCACTGTGATCTACCTGACCAGGGCAATTCTGCCCACCATCTGCAGTGCTCTACTCCAAAGCAGGCACATTCAACTGTCTTCTGTGGCACTCCTGTTGCAGCAGGCACCCCTGCATGCCATCTTCAGCACCCCAAGCTGCCATGGGCCACACCATCACAGCTTCTTGGGAGATCACCCAGTGCAGCACCATCCTCATGGGTCTACAATCACCCAACCAGAATCTCCTGAGAGGACCATCCAACTTGTCCTCCAAATAACAGAATACTGGTTGACTAGGGAAAGAGTGAAGCCACAGGAGGATAAAGCAGTAGACCAATCCTATAGTACAATTAACTTCAGGCAGTTTGAAGAAGCATTCCTATGAGTCTCCCAGAGAGAGCCCAGTCTCCTTGCTTCTCTGGAAAATGGCACCTGGCTCCTTTAAAACAATGCAACACAAATAGCAATCAGCCCCAACGACCTCAACAACAAAAAACAGGAGAAACAAAAGGCAATGTCAGAAGATGTCCTGAACCTAACGACATGCATTGAAGAAGCAGACATTGACCTGCCACAGAAAGAAGTCTTCAGAATGCTGATTGGAGTCATAGAATGTATGAGGGAAGCAATACAGGAAAAGGATTAAATGATAGAGGACATAAAGACCATACACCAAAGGGAAATACAAGACCTTAGGGATGAGATAACATACAACCAGTAGCAGACTCACAGACTTTGCCAACCAACTGGAGGAGGCAGAGAACCGCACCAGTGACCTAGAGGACAGTTAAGCAGAATTTCACAAACGTGAACAAAAGTCTAATAAGATCATCAGAAAAGCCAAAGAAAACCTAAGAGGTATGTCTGATGCTATGAAGAGGGACAACATCAGAATAATTGGATTACTGAAGGAAGACACAAAAAGATGTCAACTGCAAAAAGAGTGAGAGAATTCTTGGAGGAAAACTTCCCCAGCTTAATGGATGAAAATCAGGCAACCATTCAGGAGGCTGAAAGAACATCAGCTAGACTGAATCCCAATAAGAAGTCACTAAGGTACATAATAGTTAAACTATCCAACTTTGAGGAAAAGGAGAAAATCATGATAGCAGCTAGGGAAAAACAAGCAGTCACATATAAAGGTTCCCAAATAAGAATATGCTCAGACCTATCAGTGGACACTATGAGGAAGAGGAGAGACTGGAGTAACATATGCCAAAAATGGAAGGAAAATAACACGAACCCAAGAATACTCTATCCAGCCAAATTATCTATCAAGATAGATGGAGAAGTAAGAGTCTTCCCAGACAAGGGAAACATTCTTAGAATACATTAAAAGAAACCCAGCCCTAGAAAAGATCCTTGCCAACCCAGTATGGGCAGAAGTACAGCACTCACCGAGCACAAATATAGAGACCACTGCATAGAACAACCTTACCCAGAGGGCAACAAAGAGAAAACAGCTCCCAAGATAGCATTGATTTAAGGGTGGAAAGAAGTCAAGAATGAAACACACACACACACACACACACACGCACAACACACTCATAAAAAAGGGAGATAGGAAAACACTCAACACAAAAGGTATAAGATGATATCACAAAGTCCACAGATGGATGTAATAACCCTGAATATCAATGGAATGAACTCAGGCATTAAAAGGCAGAGCCTAGCAGACTGGCTTAGAAAACACAACTCGTCAATCTGCTGCCTACAAGAGACACATCTCATGGTTACAGACAAAAATAGGCTGAGAATCAAAGGCTGGAGAAAAATAGCAAGCAAACAGCAATTCAAAAAAAGCAGGGGTTGCAATCCTAATCTTGGATAAAATTGACCTCAAAGTGCAAACCATAAGAAGAGATAGGAGGGACACTGTATAACGCTCAAGGGAACTGTAGACAAAGAACCACTAAGCATTTTAAACATATATTCCCTGAACAAGAGACCCACTGAATACACCAACAAAAGATGAAAAAAGAAATCACAGTCTCAACAATTATAGTCAGTGACTTCAATACCCGGCTCTCAGAAATATAGATCACAGGGATAGAAACTCCACCAGGAGGCTAGAGATCTTAACATTACAATTAGACAATTTGACCTGATAGATATTTACAGAAGTCTCCACCCAAATACAAACCAATTCACATTCTTTTCAAGCCCACATGGTACATATTTGAAGATATATCACATGCTGGGGCATAAGTTGAATCTGCATAAAGTTAAGCACATTGATACATACAGATCTCGCTCTCTGACGACTGTGCCATAAGGCTGGAAATCAACCAAAGGAAGATGAAGAAAACAAGGGCAAACAATAGGAGGATGAATAACTCTCTACTGTAAAAGGAGTGTGTACTGGCCCAGATCAGAGATGAAATTAGGAAATTTCTAGAAACCAGTGAGAATGAGAACACGATTTACCGAAATTATGGGACACAGCAAAGGCAGTTATCAGAGGAAGTTTCCTAGCAATACATGCACACATGAAAAAGGAAGAAAGATTTATTATTGATATGCTGGCACAAAATTTACAGCAACTAGAGCAGAGTCAACAGGACAATCCTACTAATAGCACACGAAAATAAATAATAAAAATCAGGGCTGAGATCCAGGAGTATGAAATATGAAAACTATGGAAAAAATTAATGCTGCTAAAAGTTGGTTCTTTGAACAAAGCCCACATGGAAGAGGCACACCATCCTGCATGGCCATGAGGTGTCGAAGGGATCAGGTATCAGGCATCAAAGAACAAAAAGTCATATCATTGTAAATGAGGGTGAGTGCAGAGTGGAGACTCAAAGCCCATCAGTAGGCAACTGGACACCCCCTTAATGAAGGATTGTGGGGAGGAGATGAGCCAGCCAGGGTTCAGGGTAGCAACGATGAAACACATAACTTTCCTCTAGTTCTTAAATGCTCCCCTCCCCCAATCATGATCCCAATTCTACCTTACACATTTGGCTAGACCAGAGGATGTACATTGG